GGACCCCCATGCAAGTCTCCCCCGCCCCCAAAGCTGGACCAAGTTTGGCGTGTTCGAGGGACGGTGTGGCTGCAGCAGTGATCCAGGGGTGGGCAGGGGCCAGATCCGTCCTTGTCAAATCCCCAGGGTACCCTTGGCAATGACTAGGGACAGTTTTGATTGACGGCCGAGCTTGGGGAAGGAGGTAGTACTGGCACCTAGTGGGTGGAGGCCAGGGATGCTGCTCAACAGTCCGCAGTGCCCAGGACGGCCCCGCACCAGAGAATGATTGGCCACAAATTTTAGCACCGCTTCTGCTGAGAAACTCTGGGCCAGACCACGCCAGGAAACGCAGGATGCGCAAGGAACTGGGTTTTATTCTAGTGCAGCATAGAACCAGGGAGGGGAATGACGAGACCAGATTCGTTTATCAGTAATTACTCCGGCTGCCGGGGTGGGGGGTGGACAGGAGGGCACAACTTAAGGTAGTGGCTTTAAGGTTTCGGAGTCCGGCCAAAGCTGAATTGGCAATGGGAGGCCTTTGTGAAGGAGGTAGGGCGGGAGAAGGCAAGGTATCAAGTTGGATTCCCCGAAGAGTAAACTGGGACGCCTCGAAGAGGTTGGGAAGCGAAGCGTTTACTCCTGGATTCCGCCCGGGCCTCTGCTCAGATGAGCTCCCACCTCCCCTGCCAGCACCCCAAGCCCGGGAGGGCCGCCCCACCGGCACAGCGGCTGAGCTCTGGCCAGCGGACAGAGCCGAAGGGTCGCCGCCGCCACCACCAGCATCAACACCAGCATCTCGTTCAAGAATCGGCCGCCACCACTGCACCTCAACCGCCGGTGATCCAGCTTCACAGTCGGGCATGCGCACACTGGCGCGTCACTGTCTTCCAGCCAATCTGTCCCGCGGACGCCGGAGTCCGCCTGGAGTCCCAGCATGCGCTCGCCGCCTGCCGAGCCCGCCCGGGGCTCGGGCCTGCGCAGACGGCCGCCTGTGGACCGTCTAGCTTGAGCATGTGCGTCTCCCGGGAGCCCGGATCCGCCAACCAGGCCACCAGAGCCTGAGCACACACGTGCCGCCCGCAGGCCGGTGCGTGCACGGGGCTGTCCACACAATCCCAACGCTGCCGCTCCACGCGACGGCGGCTCTCTCCGCGCGCCGCGGCGCGTGCTCACCGCCCTCCACGTGACCCCAAGGGCCCTCGCGGACGCTGCGAGGGCGCACCAACCCCGCCCCTCGACCCGCAGGTCCCGCCCTCGGCTCGTAGGCCCCGCCCCACAAGCCTCACCCCCGCGGCTTTCGGTTCTGGGCCACGCCCCCCGCGGGTGCCGCAGCACGCGCCGTTTGTCACGTGCGCCTCCGCCGGGCGAGCGGAAATGACGCAAGCGCTGTGCGCCGACAGGATGGCCGAGCCATGGCTACGGGCACAGGCTACGTGCGGCTGTGGGGAGCTGCGCGATGCTGGGCGTTGCGGCGGCCGGTGTTGGCTGTCGCCGGGGGGCGGGTCCCGACGGCGGCCGGAGCGTGGCTGTCCAGAGGCCGGCGGACCTGCGACACATGTCCTCCGTGGGCGCTGTGGGGCCGTGGCCCCGCGGCTGCGGGCCAGTGGCGTGGGCTTTGGGAAGCGAACAACCGCAGCGGCGGCGGCTCATTCTCGGGCGGCGAGGATGCTTCCGAGGGCGGCGCGGAGGATGGTGCCGCGGGCGCGGGGGGCAGCTCGGGCGGCGGGGAAAGCCCGGTCATAACGGCACTGACGCCCATGACCATCCCCGACGTCTTCCCGCACTTGCCGCTCATCGCCGTCACCCGCAACCCGGTGTTCCCGCGCTTTATCAAGATTATCGAGGTAATGAGAGCCCCTCCTTGGCCTCCATGTCCCCACCTCTGCAAGCAGCAGGTTGGACCGAGAGGTCACTTAGCACCCTCATTCATCGAAAGGTTTTCAGACACGAAGTTTCTTCAAGGCAGGAGTTCGAATCCTCATCACTAGCTTGGTGAACTTGAGCCAAATTCCTCCCACTTCCGTAAGGGGAGTTGAATCCAAAGAGCTTAGGACTGTCCACTTAGCGTTCTAATCTAGAGAAATCCGGCTCTACAAAGGACCAGCACGGTATTGCTGCACACTTACTTTTCTGCGGATCTTGGTAAATGTTTCATAACTCTCTCTCCCCTAGGACTGTTCCCCTTCTGGTTATGAGCCTCTTTGGGGTCAGGATTTATTCCTTAAGTATTTCTTGACCGCTTACCATGTGCCAGGTTCAGTTCTAGGTGTTAGGGCTACAGCAGTGAACAAGACACAAAAGCTCCTGTCTTTGGAGCTAACATTTTAGCGGGATGCGAGAGGCAATAAACAAGATGCGTAAGTACTACAGGGAATAATAGAGCAAGGGATGGATGGTGCTGGAAACTGAGGAGGAAGGTGGGAGAGGAACGTTCTTAGGGGTGCGGCTGTGGTTCTTTTCATCACGCAGAGTGCTCTTAACCTGCCACGCAGCAGGCACCAAGGATATAGCAGCAAACAAGTCAAACAGTCCCTTTGCCTGAGAACTTGCGATTCTAGTGGAAGAGGCAGGAAACAAGATCCTTTCAGATTAAGAGCCCTGGTGAGGGTGGGGGGGACTAGGATGATGTAACAGAGAAAGCAGGAGTGCAAGGAGCTTGAGTTTTTAGAGTAGGAAGCACCCAAATGCTTCTCTTCTTCCCTACCCCCTCTTTTTTAAAAAATGATGTGGAAACGAGTCCATGGAGGAGAAAGGTTATCTGTTAACTAAGCAAGGTCATACCATGAGTCAGCCTCTGCATTCACCCTCCAGTGTCTCCTCCTCAGACTCCAGTTTCTGTGAAATAAATCTCAGGGATCCCTTGAAATAGAGGACAATACAGAGAGGCAGCAGCCAGCCAGTGGGGAGGGACAGGAAGGACCCCTCCGCCTCCTCTCACATACTGCTGGTTGTGTCCGGGCCCCCCTTCCAAGGGCCTTCCGTGATGTTGAACAGTAGTCACTCTCAGCTCCCAGAGCCAAGCCCTGTGACTGGCTCCGCCACCTCTAGCTTTGTAACCTTGGGCAAGCTGTTCCACTGGACCTCCATTTTCTCATCTGTGAAATGGACTTGCTAATTGTACCTCACTTCTTAGAGCTGCTGTGGGAGGTACGTAAGGTCAAGTGTGTAAAGGATTAGAATGGTGCCCGGTGCTTAGTATCTCTCAGTAGTAAGCAGCTGCTGTTTTCTCTGGGGACACTTCCGATATTTCCGAAGCCCGCCCTGGAGACCGTTTTTCTGTCCTTGACCCCACCTTCCACAATCCTCTCTACCCTCCCAGACCTTTGGGGCTGGGACTCCAAGTATGATCCCCACAGCCCTGCAAAATGACAGATGCTCTTTGTCCCCAGTGCTCAAGCAGAGATCCGATTCTTCTAAGAGATAATGTGTGCCCACCTGGAGCTAGCCAGGAGGGTTCAGCGAGTCACTTTGGTTGGCATGAGGCTGGCATGTCGTATCTTGTATTTCTATTGCTGTTACCTTGTAAATAACAAAAAAAAAAGGGACCCTGGCAAAGGGAGGGGATAGGTGCCGAGGTGCAGCAGTCAGCTGTTAGCAGAGGAGAAATGGGAACATTTCTGTGGGACGTGATAAATGTTTCTGAACTTGTTAGCAAAGCTACCTTTACTCTCAGTTTTGTAGTTGACTCTGTAAGCGGCTAACTTACCCCATAGCTTTTCTCCTTATCCGTGCAGACCAGTGGCTCTTAATTTTCATTGGGTCATGTACTCTCCTGACAGGTGTCATGGACTTTTTCTCTGGGAAAAATGCATCTATAATGTCAGGAATTCCCAGATCATAAGAGCCCCCATTAGAGGGTGAGTTAAAACACTGGTTCGCAAAGCCGGTGCCTGGACCAGCAGCAGCAGCACCTGAGAGCTTGTTTAGACCTTATCCATAGGACACTGCAGGGCTGGAGCCCAGCCATCTATTTTAACACGTCCTCTAATGCTGATGCATGCTAAAGTTTGTGAGCCGTTAAGTTTAATGAGAATCTAATCTGGGAATTACCTCAAGCTTGAAAGAAATCAGTTGAGACCTAAAGACATCTATGTACCACCCTCATCAGTTGTTTCCTAGGAGACATCAACCCTCTACCTGCCATTGAAATGGCATCAAGAGAATGTGCTGCGGTCCTGGGGGTTTTGATGATCAATAAATAGGGTAGAGATGTGATTGGTGGGCTGCATTTGTGGGGTTTTTTAAAAATTATTATGCCTACAGCACCTGGTCTTCCTAGGTGGTCTCTCATCCAAGTACTAACCAGGACTGACCCTGCTTAGCTTCCGAGATCAGACATCGGGCTCGTTCAGGGGGCCAAGGCCATAGACCATGGACCATGGCTCCACTGGGGCGCGAACCCAGGACCTTCTGCATGTAAAGCAGACGTACTAACCGCTATACTGTGGAACCACATCTGGTGGGCTGCATTTGAATTACGCACATGTGTAGCGTCGTCTTTCTGACACTGATAAAATCAGAATGGTTTAGATTTTTCAAGCCAAGACATTTTGTCACTGAAACAGTTCTCAGATGTCAAATTAACTTCTTGGTGCTGGCCATTTGCTTACTTTGAATTTTTTCTTTAGGAAGTGGTGTGGTGGGGGTGAGGGTGGGGGGGCGGAACCACTGAGGTATGCAGCTGGCCAACACTGTCCCTCTCCAGTCTCCATACACTTATCTTTTGTTTGGGGCTCAGGTGTTCCTGGACCATGTTGGTTAGTGTTCTGCATCAGATTCGCATGTCCCCAGAGAATAATAAAGAAACGCTGAACTGTTGTCAAAATGTCAGCCAGAAAACTTACTCTGCATTTCACTTGAGGTCATTGTCATGCTAGGTTAAAAATAAGAAGTTGGTTGAGCTGCTAAGAAGGAAAGTCCGTCTCGCCCAGCCATATGCCGGCGTCTTTCTAAAGAGAGATGACACGTAAGTGTAATTTTCCCTTCACTCCCTTGCCGAAGTTGCCCTGGAGCGTAGCTAACCACCAGTCCTGCTCCAGAGAACAGCCTGAACCTCTGACCCTCGACCTGGAAGAAACCAAGCAAAGCCTGCAGGCTGTTAGGCCAAGAGCCGACATCCCTTGCATTCTGGGCCGACAGCTCAGCTCGTGGTGCCAGCCTTCCTGTGCTGTCAAGGTGTGGGGCAGACGTTAACCTGGGGGGCCCTTGGTGTTTAGACACACTCACCTGCAAGGCCGCTTCAGCGCAGAGCCAGGTGGGCAGGTGTCAGCTCCAGGTCTGCCCACCTTGGCTCCAGGTAGAAATTAGTTCTGTTGCTGAGTTAGGTGTGTTCTGAGCAGGCTCTGTGATGGGACTGTGGAATGGATTAAAACTCCATGCAGGCCGCTCATGGCCAGCTCACCAGAAGCCACTCAGCCGTGTGCCATTGCTGCTGGCGGCCCTTAGCTGGCAGGTGCTTTACTGGGCTCCGGAGGCCCTGTGGGAACAAGGAGGTCACTCAGTTTTTAGTCAAGGCCAGAAGAGCTGTTTCTTGCCTCTCCCTTCATCCCTCTTAGCATGAGACACCCCGTGGGAGTCGGCACCTATGCCGATGTTCCTTTGCCTCCCTCTCTCTCAGCAATGAGTCCGACGTGGTCGAGAGCCTGGACGAGGTCTACCACACGGGGACGTTTGTGCAGATCCACGAGATGCAGGACCTCGGGGACAAGCTGCGCATGATTGTCATGGGACACAGAAGGTGCGGGAACCCGAGCATATGGGACAGGGTAGGAAGAGCAGCCCTGCATGCTCCCAGGGCCCATCACCCACTCACTCTTCTTGGTCTGCCCTGCCGCCTGGACACTGCAGGGACCAGGCCAGAGCTGGAGGCCAGGGCTGAGATGTGTCACCGCCGGAACCCCCCTTCCCGGAGTCCCCTTGTTAAAGCGGCGGTGTATGTGGTCAGTGAGAAGCTGTTTCTTTAATGCACGTTATTCCAAAAAACACCGCAAAACAGTAACAAGCAGCCTCATGTCCCGTATGTCGGCATTGCCCTTCTCAGTCAGGCATCCTTTTCCTCCAGGTGCCTGTGTCTGCATCCTCCGGCAGGTCACACTGTAGCGCCACGCTTAGCGATTTGGAGTTTTTCAGTCAGACACATTTCCTTGTCAGTTTGTATAAGTTTTATCTCTGATAAAAGTCTGTCGAAGGGCCGCATACGACATTTGGAAGCTCAGTTTAAGCCTTCGTATGTCACGATTAATAAAGACAAATCTGTGAGACCAGCTTAGGGTTGACACTCTCGATGGAGAAATTCACCAGCTTTTCAGATGTGTTCGGCGGGGCACTGGTCCTCCAGGACGCTTGGCGAGAGCCCTGTGACCGCCCTCACAAAGCATCAGCCGCAAGCCTTTAGCGTGCAGTAAAGGTGGAGTAAATGTTCTGAAAAGCTCCTCTGGAGACTCAGTGGCATTTGTTGAATCTAGAGTCTTCCATCACGTTTTCTCACAGAGCCTTTTTCTTGTGGCAGCCAGCAGCACCCCCAGAACACAGAGGAAATGGGCCATGATTGTGTGAACAGTCCTGGTGTGGTCCTCCGGCCCCGGCCCCCACACCCCTTCACCTATTCCCCTTCGAGTCTGTTTTAGGCAAGAGGCTGCTCCTCTGTGTCCTGGAAGAGTGTGGCCAGAGGGGACAGGGTGTGAATTAATTGAACATTGGTGGCTCCTGACTTCTCTGCTAATTATGAGGTACCTTATGGGTGGAGTCCTGCTGACCCAGGCTACTCGGGATTTCCCGAGGCCCGACTTCCTTTCCTCTGTGCACCTTGCCGGTGACAGCCAGGCACCAAGCACGCATGTAGGTAGTTGTTGTGCCTGCCCTCTGAAGATGGCACCATTGTTAGCTACCTGTGTGACAGGAGAGCTGGGAGGTGGAACATCATTTAACACCAGGGGCCGAGTGTCCACGCAACGCTTGGGTGTGAGCAGGGGAACAGGGCAGGGGCCACCTTCGGGAGCAGCCCCGAGTGGGGAAGACACCAGGGGCATGGGTGTTTTGGGGGAAAGCGAAGATGGATAGGATGGTGGGGGTGTGCGTGGTTGGGACCAGGCCTCTGAGGAAGTGCCTGTGAATCAGATGTGGTCGCCGTGAAGGAGCAGCTGCGTGCTGAGCCCTGGGCTGGGGGTGGGGTGGGCAGCATTTCGGCACCGGGCTCTGTCGAGCTGGCAGCTCGTGATGGGCCCCAGAGCTGGTCACCCGCTGGCTTCTGTATTAGTTCATGCGGGACAGAGGGGCATTGGCGTGGGAAGTGGAGGGGAGGGGTCAGCTGCAGGCCAGGGCGGAGGGGCACACTGGTCTGGGGGTTCTGAGAAAGTGGCTCGTCTGCAGTTCCAGGGCCCAGCGGGACCCTTAGCTGTCGGGGGCGGGGGACGGTCGCGTGGGCTTCACCTGGGCCCCGCGCCCCACTCCCTGCTCCAGGATCCACATCAGCAGGCAGCTGGAGGTGGAGCCAGAGGAGGCTGAGGCCGAGAATAAGCAGAAGCCCCGCCGGAAGCCGAAGCGGAGCAAGAAGGAGGCTGAGGAGGACCTGGGCGCCAGGCGCCAGATGGAGATGGTGGTGGAGCCCAACTCGGGCGCCCCCGGCGAGGTGCTCATGGTGGAGGTTGAGAACGTGGTCCACGAGGACTTCCAGGTCACGGAAGAAGTGAAAGTAAGCACGTGGCCCCGCGGGCCCCCTGAGCGAGCTTGTGCACGATGAGGGTCTATCCTGGCGAGGCTCGCGGGTCCCTTTGGAGGGTGCAGCCCACTTTCCTTCCTCAAACCCTCGGGAGGAACCGGGATGAGACATCCATGGCCCTTCACTGCTCTCAAAGGAGGCAGGGTGTGGACCCAAGCCCAGCCCCAGCCTGCGACCTCTGGGCAGGAACCTCCAGCCCTCCACCCAAGCCCGGGATGTGAGGGAGGCGAGACAAGGCTCCGTCGCCGGGAGCTGTGGCTGGAAGAAATGGCCTTCCAGACCTTGGCTGCCGGCCTTCCTCATGGCGGACCCGCTGTCCTTCCATATATTGTAGCACAGATTCTAGGCAGGGTAACCTGCCTTCAGAGGGTGGGGACATAGCTGACAGCTTTGGTGTGATCCCGTGGTACCACGCTGAGGACCCTGGGGCTGCATCTGAGTTCGGTGGCAAGGGGTGCTGTGATTGATTAGTGACGTCTGCCTTGGGCACGAGAAGGTGCTTGGCTGCATATGCCACTGGCCTAGGCCAGCAGTCACATCCATGGGGCCACACAGGGCCCCTGAGAGCAGCGCTGTCTGGGAGAACTTGGCGTGGTAGCAGGCGCTCTGTAATTCTGCCTCATCAGACTCTTGTAGCTCATAAGCCTTTGACCTATGGCCTTTGTGACTGAGGAACAGAATGTCTAATTTTACTAATTTTAACTCATTTAAATATAAATAGCTACGGGTGGCTAGTGGCGGCCTGACTGGAGGGCACAGCTTTACGGGGAAGACAAACACGTAGATGGTGTGATGGATAGAATCGGGGGACCTCAGGGAGACAGCATGCTCATCTTCGGTCATGCGAGTGCCTGGTTCCGGTTTCTTCTACAAAGGGCAGTCCAGGGACAGACCCGATAACGAGAAACGGGTGGTTACAGTGGAAAGCCCTGGCTGTCGTGGCCTCTCGTCGTACGTGCCCGTTGCCCCCCACCCCCCAACGTGGGGAGCCGTGGTTTTCTGGAAGCAAACAAGGTGCCGGTTTTCATGCCATAACCTGCCCGGTGCTCCTGTGTGGAGCGTGACCAGACCCACTGGCAGGGAGCCGGGGTGAGAAGGGAGACGGTGCCATGGCGTCCACAGCAGAGGGGACAGATTGAGAGCCCTGGTGACTCACAGGCAGGTCCCAGACAAAGACGTCACAGCCTGGTGTTATGGCCGAGGTTGAGAAGGGGTCTCTGTTGAGGGTAGTGGTGAAAGGTATAAGGAACCTTCTCACCGTTTTTCTCCTCAAGAGGGCTCGCTCTGAGATCCGAGTAGTGTCAGGAGACACGGTCCGTTTTAGCTTTTGCTCACGTGGTCCGTGTCCCTGTGACTGGTGAACTTGGGCTCTGCTCCTGGGCCTCTGAGGCTGTCTTTAGCCAGGGCCATGTGGGAGGGGCTTCGCAGGGCCACATGGGTTCCGGTGACCCACGGCGGCCTTCCCACTTGCCAGGCCTTGACTGCCGAGATTGTGAAGACCATCCGGGACATCATCGCCTTGAACCCGCTCTACAGGTTGGTCTCCTGTGCCCTCCCCAGCCAAGCATGTGACTGCTCCCCAAGGCCAGGCTGGGCTCCCTCTGTGGCCACTGGGCTGGCAGCAATTTCCCAAGGGCATTCTGGTCTTGTGGGCAGGGCCTCGAGGCCCATGCAGGCGGATCCCCTTCCCTCCTAGCAGGGAGGCCCTGGGCAGGAGGTTGGCAAGAGGAGGCTTACCTGGCCAGGTTCTTTGCTTCCTTCCTACTGACTGAGGGCCTGGATTTGGCTGGAAGCCTTCGTCATCAGCTGGGGGGAGGGGTCTCGTGAGGGGTCTCAGAGTGGCTGCCGGAGGGGATGTGGCACGAGGACGTTAGTCTCGTGGCTCTGAGATGGGCGGCCCCACCGGCGGCGAAGCTGCTGAGGCCCAGAGATAGAGCTGGCTCTCAGCAGTGCAGGGGACAAGGAGACCCATGTCCTTGAGGAGTGACGTTTCAGCTGCTACCGTGGTTTCTGCGTCACGTGGCAATGTCCCTCTGTCCCTTCCAGAGAGTCTGTGCTGCAGATGATGCAGGCGGGCCAGAGGGTGGTGGACAACCCCATCTACCTCAGTGACATGGGCGCTGCGCTGACCGGAGCCGAGTCCCACGAGCTTCAGGACGTCCTGGAGGAGACCAGTGTGAGTGTGGCCTGTCTACGTGCGCCGGTCCCACTTCGCTGGCTGGGCTGCCCCCGGCCTGGCCGGTGTTCTCAGCTGCGTTTTAGAGATGATTCGCATCAGCGCACGTCCTTCCGTGCACATCGAGCACCCTCGTTCCTCTTTTTATCCCTCGTTCTTTTAACGGCTGCACAGTACTCCATCGGGTGGTGCCCATCATTTAGTGGAAGCGTGTTCGGGGTGCTGCCAGTCTTTCGCTCTTGTGAACATGAACGACGCCTGTACAGAAATCCTGGTCCACACAGCTTGTACACCTGGGGGAGTTTATCTGTGGGAGGTGTTTCCAGAACTGGGTTTGTTGGGACAGGGTGCCAGCCTCTGGGGTAAGGCGGGGCCTGGCCACCTGCCTGTTTTCGCTTCCCCCAGAAGCAGCCCACAGAGTGCCCGTTCCCCCCACGGATGGTCACCGACTTCCGACCATCCCCTCACGCCTGCTCTTTCTTGGCAGATTCCCAAGAGGCTGTATAAGGCCCTCTCCCTCCTCAAGAAGGAGTTCGAACTGAGCAAGCTGCAGCAGCGCCTGGGGCGCGAGGTGAGCGCCTCTGCTCTCGGGGCTGTGAGCCTCGCTGGGTTAAAACTCACGGGCGGCCCCAGTGGCTGAGCCTAGAGAGGGAGGCAGGCATCCACCGTCCTCCGGTAAGGGGGAAGGATTTCTCTCCTTCAGAGTTTTGGGGGAAAATGCCTAACATTGGGAACCAGCCTGGGAAAGGCTGTAAAGCTGTTTCTAAGACTCAGCCGTTCGAGATGTACCTTCCCAGGCCTGGGCAAACCAACACCACCTGGATGATCAGCTGCTTAAAAGTCATGTTTTTCAGACGTGACTCCATTTTTCAGTGTTTGTACGTTGGGAAAAAGTTTCACGTCACAGTGTTAATCGGAAAAGCTTGTAACACTTGCTTATCGCAGACACTGCAGGCAGGGCTGCTGCTCGTCCGGGTCTTGTCTGTCAAGAGAGGGGACATGCTGGTATCAGGCCGAGCTTCCCTCTTCTCAGTCGGTATTGAAAAGTGAACTGTTAACTTGTTGCATGGCCTCCACGAGGCCCACACTGGGGGAGACTTCGCTTTACGATGTGAGGAGTTGGGGCCGCGCACACCCGGTTTCTGAGTTGGGGGAGCGGCAGCCCCGTGATCCCATGGGGGCGTGTGCACTTGGGTCTGACGGCAGCCTCTCGACCCTGCAGGTGGAGGAGAAGATCAAGCAGACGCACCGCAAGTACCTCCTGCAGGAGCAGCTGAAGATCATCAAGAAGGAGCTGGGCCTGGAGAAGGAGGACAAGGACGCCATTGAGGAGAAGTTCCGCGAGCGGCTGAAGGAGCTTGTGGTCCCCAAGCACGTCATGGACGTTGTGGACGAGGAGCTGAGCAAGCTGAGCCTGCTGGACAACCACTCCTCCGAGTTCAAGTGAGCGCCTGGGGTGGCCACGCTGGTCTCTGTCACATCCAGTCCTTGGAAAAGCTCGCGACCTGGCAGGGTCCGGGACGCCAGCCCTGGATGCTAGGAGGGCACAGGTGCTTGACACCTGAAACTGCATTTGCCGTGCATCCGTCCTCATGGCGCCCTGTGTGGGACCCTCCTCTGCTGCCCCCGTTTCACAGATAGAGAATTCAGTTCTTGGAGAAGTTGAGTCTGTGGCCACGGCCTTCAAGCTGGTAGCTGGGGACAGGCATTTGAACCAAGTAACGTCTGGCTGTGAGCCAGTGCTTCCAGCCAGGAGCCCCCGGGGCCATCTCCCCAAGGCTGCCCTCCTCCCCAAGTTCTGTCCCTGGCCTCCCTCTGAGAGTCAGCCGGGAAGTAAGTGTGTCTTGCTAGACACTTGGCCCTGCCCGGCCGTCGTCATTCTGTGCACGCTGGCTGTGAAGATGACTGCTGGGGTTTGGGCCAAGGGGCTCAGAGCCTATGAGATTCTGGCTTTGCCCAGATGTCAGACCCCATGGACTGGGCATTGCTCCTGGGCAGCTTGTGGGCTGGCCAGGTCCTGGGACAGCCTCTCGGGACGCATGCTCCAGGCCCCGGGTTCCTGCTGGGTGGGATCCCTCCATGGCTCAGGGTGTCCATGGGGGTCTAGGCTCTTTCAACAAGGGCCCCGGGAGATACTGGTGATCTCCATTCCAGAGATGTCCCAACTTCTCTTCCTTGGCCAGCAAATAAGCTTTTCACACCGCTGTTGCCAATGTCCGTATTTCATTTCACAGTCTCCTCCCGGGGCCCTCATGAGGGGCGTTTCCTAGGCTGGGGGCAGCTGCCAACCAGGTGCTCAGCTCCCACCTCGGGCTCCCTCTCGGTCCTCCACTTGCCCTGAGTCAGGGTGTGTCTTCCTATTCTAACTCCTGTCCCCTGACCCCGTGCCGTTGGGCCCTGAGCATTCCCCATGCTCTCCGTGTCCCTAGTGTTTGTGTCAGCAGCTGGGCCAGTTCTCGCCACATGCTCTGTGCCCAGACAGCTCTCAAAGAGGTCACAGTCCTCGAGCCAGGGTGCGCTTGCTCGGCGCGGCTCAGGCTTCGGCGCAGCAGGTGCCAGCCTGGTAGATGTGCAGTGGCAGGGGCTGGGTGGCCGGCTGAGCCCTGATCACCAGCTCTGGTCTGTCCTGTGGCAGTGTCACCCGCAATTATCTGGACTGGCTGACGTCCATCCCTTGGGGCAAGTACAGCAATGAGAACCTGGACCTGGCCCGGGCGCAGGCAGTCCTGGAGGAGGACCACTACGGGATGGAGGATGTCAAGAAGCGCATCCTGGTGAGGCCGCCTGCATCCCTCCCATGGGCCATGGGGTCCTGGGCACGAGCCGGCCCAGCCCTCCCCTGGGCGCCATAGCTCCGTGTCCGGGCACTTGGTCAGTGTGCCCAGGGATGGAGCTGAGAGGCAGGGTATGTCGTGGTCCGGATTTGCTTGTGGGTGGTGGGCATCTCGGCTTGGGTCCCAGGATCAGCCCCATGCTGTGGTGGAGACCAGGAGGAGCCCTCTGGTGAATTTGGGGGTCTTGGGGTACAGGAAGGGCTTGGCTGGGGCAAGGCTGATGGAGGGCCCCAGCCAGGGAGACTAGTGTTGGAGCGGCTCAGCGGGGCCAGCTCACCCGCTGCAGGCGGCACGCGGCTTTACGAGGGCTTAAAAGTGGAGCTTGCGGAGCAGGAAAGCAAGGGCCTGACGGCAGCTTGGCCATGAGTGGCCCAGGATGTGGGGGGACCAGGCCTGTAAGTGGGGGGCTGCTGGTGGGCCTCCGCTGTGGTCATTGAGCCACCATGTTCTCCTGGCACCTACTTGTCTCATTGGTGCCACAGGCTGTCCTGTGGCAAATGACACCTTCAGTCAGCTCGGTCCCTCTGGGACAGGCCTTGTCCCTTCTTGCAGCACCCAGAAACCTGGAAGGTACGAGAAGGTTGCCAGGCTCATGGCAGGCACAGCCCTTGCTCTGCACAGGTGGCAAGTGACTGAGTCTTACGGGAGCCGCCTCTGCCCACAGGAGTTCATCGCTGTCAGCCAGCTCCGAGGCTCAACCCAGGGCAAGATCCTGTGCTTCTACGGCCCCCCGGGCGTGGGCAAAACCAGCATCGCCCGCTCCATCGCCCGCGCCCTGAACCGCGAGTACTTCCGCTTCAGCGTGGGCGGCATGGCCGATGTGGCCGAGATCAAGGGGCACAGGTAGGCCAGCCTCTCCCCAGTCTCCTGTCAGGCTTCGTCCCTCCAGAGTTCCTTCTGCCCTTGAGTGGTTTTAGTGGTGAGTAGCGAACTCCACTCACACTGAAATAAGTAACTGGAAATCCAGGCATCCATCCGACTCCAGGCCTGGCCAAATCCGGGCACTCAAACAGCATGTCAAAGTTTCAGCCTCTTCAGGAGAGCCTGTACATGGACGGAATCCAGTAGTTCCAGCTCATGTGCCCTCGTCTCCTCCTCCAGCAGTTCTGGGACTGGCACTCACTGTCACTGTCCCTGCCTGGGTGGTCTGACCGGGGACCGGGTTAGCGAGGGGCAGAACGGTCTTGCGGGTGAGGATGGGACAGCCCACAGCAGTGCGGCCTCGGTCCTTTCCTTCCTCACCACGCCCAGGTGGGGGCTGGTATCTTCTGTGTCCCGAGTCTTAGAGCCACCTGGCCCATGCCTGGTGCCCTTCCATGGGTGGTCAGGATGTCGTGATCCAGTGCTTCCTGCCACACCGGCCTCTGCCGAGGGTGGTTCTTTGAAATGCTTTGGTGAGATGCAGGTGTAGCAGATAGCCAAGTATCTGTTCCTAGTTTGCCAGCGTCCGAAGGAGGGGAGAAGGTGGAATGATAAGGTGGCCGTCTTAAGAGGGCCTCGGCGTTTCTGCCTCTTGACTGAGAGACACATCTGCACGGACCTGCAGCGGGGTTTCCTGGCTGCATGACCCTCCACCTGCCCCCGAAGCCCTGGCACACTACAGCGTTCAAGGAAAGTTTGAGTCTTTGTTAAAAGTTAACATTTCTGGCGTCTTTGAAAACGTGGACGGTTCTGCTGTGTGGCAGGCAGGGCGACAGCACCCCGGTTGGGCGCAGCGCCCAGTACTCCTCACTGTCTCGAGCCCCCGAGGAGGTGGCCAGACTGGAAGAGAGAGGCCCAGATTTTGGTGTGAGCTCCAGGACGGGCCAGGAAGGGACAGGGCCTGCCTAGCACTGGGCAGAGGTTCACAGGGAGGCCTGCTCTGAGTATGGCGGGGTGTGGGGAGCTGCTTGGGGCAGCTGGGGAGGTTCTTGGCTGAGGACTGGCCTCTGAGCTGGGGCAGCATGAGGATGAAGGTTGGGGAGGGGCATCATGGAATGCAGAGGCGGCTCCAATGTCCCCTGGATTCTCCAGGGGCTGTGGGCAAGGACTACTCCCCGGGGTGAGGAAAGGCCTTGGCTGAGTTTCTGACAAGCGTGGATGGTCTGTGACATGGAGGTGGGGGGTCATCAGGGCTGGGGGCCTAGAAGGACAGGGACAGGCAGGCACCTTGTGCTGACGTCAGTTGTGCTATACCAGCCAAGCCTGCCTCTGCCCACGGCCGTCCTTGGTCCCCCCGCCCAGGGATAAAACCCCCAGTCCTCCCCGCCACCCCCCGCCCTCTCCTGGCACTCGCTTTGTTCCAGCCACACAGGCCTCCTCACTGTTCCTCCAGGAAGCCAGGCATGGGCCCACCCCAGGACCTTTGCACAGGCTGCTCCCCCTACCCAGAAAACCTCTTTCTCCACGTATCCATGCAGCTTGCCCCCTTATCTCCTTTCCTCAGAGTTTCTCCCTAAGGTACTTCTCATCACGTTAGAATACTGCTGCTGCCAAGTAGCATTTTAGATACCTCATCCCTGCTTTTTTGTTCATAGCACATATGTCATCTTTTAAATCTCATTATTTCCTCTTCTGCCTGGTCTGTGGTCTCTGCCCTGCTGGGCCGTAGCTCGCAAGCACAGAAATCAAGTCTGGTTTGCTTCCTGCGAATGCCAGGCATTTGTAGCCCAGCTGGGGCAGAGCAAGTGGCTCGTCAGGACACACTCCTGAAAGTGCCTGGTGGGCCCAGCAGCGGTCCCTCCAGACCCTGGCATGTGGGATGTTTTTGCTGCCAGTGCCTGGCTGTTTCTGGCGCCCCTTGTTTTGTTGGGTTTCACGGTCTAGATGTGAGGTCCAGATGGGGGGAGGGGTGGGGCGGTGGTGTGACACGTCTGGACGAGACCTGGCTGTGAATCGGTGTCCCCTGCCCTGAATCTGACCTGGGGGAAGGTATCGGGATGACCGAGTGCTCTGCAGACTGGCACGGATGGCAGCTGCTAGCAGTTATCCGGCCTCCACTGTGCCACATTGTACATTTCCCCGCTGCCTCTTCCGGGCAGCTCGGGAGGGCACGTGGCACGCACTGCGGTCCTAGAGCTCCCAGGCAGCTGGGCCTGTGGTGTGCTGTGGCTGCCTCTGGCAGCTGAGACTCCAACTGCCCCACTGTGCCTTCCCCCAGGCGGACATACGTGGGCGCCATGCCTGGGAAGATCATCCAGTGCCTGAAGAAGACCAAGACGGAGAACCCCCTGATCCTGATAGATGAGGTGTGTGTGGGGCCGGGCGCGGTCATGGCTGGGCTTCCCCAAGGTCACACACGGTCCCCTGGGCCCTCCCAGCCCAGAGCTCTTGGCAGCCTTGACCAGGCAGAGTCTGTTCCAGATGAAGCCCACGGCCCCTGCAGTTTCCATGGTCCTTGAGTCACCCTGGGTGGCCTCGCTGCAACCAGGCCATCTCATGACACAGGCCCCCTCCTGTCCTGGAGGACCTCATGTCCACCCACAGCCACGCTGTAGGGCCAGCCCTCCTGCTCTTGCTCAGGGCTTCCCCGGGTCCACGCCCGCCTGACACCCTCGTCTGAGTGGTGAGCAGGCACAGGGAGCAGGACAGGGTGCCAGCACCACCCACCTTTTGCCCTTCCAGGTGGACAAGATTGGCCGGGGTTTCCAGGGGGACCCCTCGTCGGCACTGCTTGAGCTGCTGGACCCCGAGCAGAACGCCAACTTCCTGGACCACTACCTGGACGTGCCCGTGGACTTGTCTAAGGTGTGCGTTCTGCCCGGGGGCTGGCCTGGCGGGGGAAGACGGGACGGCCATTCCTCCAGGACCTCACCACTGCCTTCCCCAGGTGCTGTTCATCTGCACGGCCAACGTCACCGAGACCATCCCGGAGCCACTCAGGGACCGCATGGAGATGATCAACGTGTCGGGCTACGTGGCCCAGGAGAAGCTCGCCATTGCAGAGGTGAGGCCAGGGACTCCTGGCTGTCCCAGCCCTGGGGAGGGGGACCCCCTCTGTGGCTTAGGCTCAAGGAACATCTGAGCACCCATTAAGTGCCAGGCACTTAACCAGAGCTGGGGTCCAGCCCACAGTGACCCTGCTGTCAGAGTTCTCGTTCTGAGAGGAGAAACGAGCACAGGATCCACCGTGTGGTGTATGTGAGGTGTCACCAAGAGAAACAGACGGGACCTGTTGTAAACTGCGTGGTCTCAAACCTCTGACACCCAGTGTGAGGCGTCTCTCTACACCAGCCAGTTCTCCAGCAGGGTGTCCTACAGTTCAAGTTAGGCTGTGACACTACCCGGGATTAGTGGCAGACCTCACAGGTTCGGGGCTCATCCCATAGGACTCCCCAACACTAGATACCACTCAGAAGTCCCATGTCTCTCTCACTCGGACCAACTGGTTGTGAATCGGGGTTCCCACTACCCTCTTAGGTTTGACAGTTCACTAGAATGGCCTACAGAACTCGGGAAAACGGTGTACTTCCTGTCACTGGTTTATCATAAAGCATACAATTTGGGAACAACCCAGAGACGCATAGGGTGGGGTATAGGGATGGGGTGCTGCAGGGGGGCGTCTATTTCCAGCCCGGTAGTTCCTTTCTGGAAAGGGGGTGAGTGCGTTCCTCCCCCTTGAGCCCTTTGCAGGTCGAGATGGGCGCCGGGTCCCAGCCCTTGGGCCCTGAGGGCGGGAGGGAGAGAAGCTTGTGACCAGGACCCACCTCGTCCTCTGTCCACGGCCAGAGACCCAACTGGGTGGTGGAGGGGCTAACCCAGGGGTCAGCAGGGGGCTTCCTCAGACCCCTAAAGGGATGACGGGAGGGACATGAAGACCCCTGGGGGCCCCTGGGCCACCCCCGGGGTCAGTCAGCTCTTTCCCCCACCCCACTCAGTGCTCAGGACCCCTTGTGCAGTGACTGCCGTAAGGCAGAGGTCGTGCTGGGCTGTGGGCGACCGTGAGGCCTTTGACTGCTCCCTATCTGCTCAGGGCAGAAGCCACATGCTCTGATACTCAGGCCCTCAGTGTGTGTGGGGGTGAGACCTGAGATCAGGAGACCTTCCTGGAGGAGGTGGCATCAATGATCACATCTGGAGGAAGGGCAGGACTCCGGGCAGTGGTAGCAGGCTGGGCATCTGCAGGTCATGGGCTCACTGTTGAGGGTCCTGACGGCCCTAGGTTCTGCCTGGACTCTGCCACTCACCCTCCTGGCCTTGCTGGTTCCTTACCCAAGTGACTTAGGCGTGGTCTCCTGGAGCAGCCTGCCCTGACACCCTGTTACATCAGATGACCCCAACCGCCCTGGGGCCACCGCAGAACCCTACCAGCAGGGATCTTTGGCTGGATGGTGTGCAGGGCCATGTTGCATTGGAGGCCGAGGCCCGGGGTGCCCCAGGGGGTCCTGATGGTGTGTTCTTACCTACCCACCAGCGATACCTGGTGCCTCAGGCCCGCGCCCTGTGTGGCCTGGATGAGAGCAAGGCCAGGCTGTCATCCGACGTGCTGACCGTCCTCATCAAGCAGTACTGCCGAGAGAGTGGCGTGCGCAACCTGCAGAAGCAGGTGGAGAAGGTGAGCCTGTGGCGGCCACGTGGCCAGCGGGGGCCGGGCGGGGGCAGGTGCTGAACGACGCTGCACAGCGAGGTCCCTGGGACTCAGACGCATGGAGCCAGGGGCTGGGAAGACAGTATTTGGTGGGGACAGTCAGTTTGGGAAGATGAGAACGTTCTGGAGATGGATGGGGGGGACGGCTACACCTCTGTGTGAATGTGCTGAATGCGCTGAACCATACACACTTAGAGTTACGATGGCACGTTATGTACGTACCGTGCGATTTACGTGATCTAAGCGAAGCGAAAAGAACAGGCGGCAGTGGCGAGTGGGAATCTGTGGCCAGGCTGCCCCCACACCGTGCCTGCCGCAGGTCCTACGGAAGTCCGCCTACAAGATTGTCAGCGGCGAGGCTGAGTCGGTGGAGGTGACACCCGAGAACCTGCAGGACTTCGTGGGGAAGCCGGTATTCACTGTGGAGCGCATGTACGACGTCACGCCGCCTGGCGTGGTCATGGGACTGGCCTGGACGGCCCTGGGTGAGTCCACTCGCCCCTCCGGCCATGCCCTGGGGGGAGTCAGTCATTGTCACTGCCACCCTGGCTGACTGGTGACAGTGAGGCCTTATCTGGGTGATGCTTTCACAGGTTTGCCTATGGGAGGAGTCCTCACAGCATGAGACCCTAGGGCACCACCCAGCAGAGGGGGGGTCTCCCGTGTCTCAGTGACCTTTTATAGCCCGGGGCCTGTCCTGTCAGCGGCTGGCAGGGGTTGGGTGCGGTTTTGTGGGGTGTGTTGAGGAAGCAGGCTCTGGATGGCAGGTGCTTATTTGGGCTGTAAAGCCACCGTGCTAAAATCGTCTGGCGCTGGCAGGCTGTGTGGAGGTACAGGACACACGGCCAGTGCACCGTGGCTGTGGGGGTGGCATGGGCGCTATGACACATGAAGGATGAGAAGGCACTGGGCTGGGCAGAGCTGGGGAAGGAAATGTTGCAGACAGGGACACGACCCACAGGCGGCCCAGCAGAGTGGCTGTCCCAGGGCTCATGGTCTCTGCACACTGGCCTCCTCCAGGAGGCTCCACGCTGTTCGTCGAGACATCTCCAAGACGGCCACAAGAGAAGGACATCCAGGGGGATAAGGACGGGAGCCTGGAGGTGACGGGCCAGCTGGGGGACGTGATGAAGGAGAGTGCCCGCATTGCCTACACCTTCGCCAGGGCCTTCCTGATGCAGCACGACCCCAGCAACCAGTACCTGGTGGCCTCACACCTTCACCTGCACGTGCCCGAGGTGAGGCCCGCCTGGGCCCTGGCAGCTCCGGGACCGCCCACCACGTCTGGCCTGCCTACTACCCATCTGCCTCTCCCTTCCAGGGCGCCACTCCCAAAGACGGCCCGAGCGCTGGCTGCACCATCGTCACAGCCCTGCTCTCGCTGGCCATGGACCGGCCCGTGCGGCACAACCTGGCCATGACAGGCGAGGTCTCCCTGACCGGCAAGATCCTGCCGGTGGGCGGCATCAAGGAGAAGACCATCGCGGTGAGTCCTGAGCCCCGTCCTGCCACAGCATGGGACAGACGAGTCATCCTTCACACAAAGGGTGATGGCCGGTTTCAGAGCGGGCATGGACTTGGCCCGGAGTCTGTGTTGAGCCAGCTGCCCCCTCCTCATGGCTCTCAACCTTTTCAAGACTTTGGAGAATGTTCCAGATCTTGCCATAGAAAGAGCCCGCATTTGAGCTCAAGGGTCCCCCATCGCCCGTCTGCCTGGTACCGAGAAGCATGGGTGCAGGGGAGGCTGGCCTCACAGGGTGCTGTGCCTGCAGGTCCAGCTCCCGGCAGCCCCTCCCTGCCTCCAAAGCAGTCAGCCTGCAGGGGGCTCAGTCTGATGAGTTGTGTGAGGGGGAGTCCGGGTGTG